ATACTGGGCTGCAGAGCTCTGAAGAGAGGATGCAAAGCACTTCCCTCTTGAGCATTTATAGAAGCAATTTCTCTCGGCCTTATTAGCACCCTGAGAGCCAAAAAGAGACGCTATTGCCTGCTTTATTGCTTTAAGAGCCTGAGACCGAGAGTTCACACAACGTGCTGAGGACTTACAGCAGTCAGAGGAAAGCTAGAGGGTTCTGTCTGGTGGGTTAGGGTTGCTATGCATGGTGGGCTGCTAAGTCCCTAATGGCTGAGGTGGGAAACTGTGCCCACACTCTCAGGCCTGCTCATTCATCGTGTGCCCAGAACCCAGCTGAACGCTTGCTGGGAGGCACCAAAAACTCCAGGGGATGAGAGGCGAGCTGCCGTGTTCCCGGGGCCACAGCAATGCCCACCAGGCAGAGCTGCTCCGCTTGCCTCTGATGTCTGCCCTCCCCCACCGCCCCCAAAGCTGGAAATTTCAGTCAAGGGGCTCCAGGGGAAAATGGGGCAGTCTGTGGTTGTGAGAAACTGAAGCATATGCAATCATGTCTGCTGAACACCCCTTTCCTCCCCCCACCCCACACCTTAAAAACAAGCTGCGCGTCTGCTCAGTGCTTTCCAACTTACCAAGTGTTTTCATAACATTATCTCATTTCATCCTCACATCAACCCACACACATTCTTGCCTTTCAGATTTCTTATACACTCAAATGAGTTTCACTGAAAAAGGCTAGAAACTCCCCATCTCCCACTCACTTTTTTTTTTTTTTTTAAGCCCCAAGCCTTGGACGGATACCTTGAGAAGTTCCTAGATCCCTAGGGTAGGAAATTTGTTTATTTTACCCCACTGGATGGACACAAAGTAGTCCTGATCTTTGCTACTGGAATCAACACTTTTGTATTCAGTTTATAGATTAGTAGTTAAAACAAGTTAAACTACAGAGACCAGAATAAACGTATTGTGGGGAAAACATAGGCTTTAGAACCAACAGCCCCAAAGTCAAATTTTAGTTGAGCCATTTGAGAGTCATGTTACTTAACCTCTCAGATCCTCTCTTTTTTAGCTATAAAATGAAGCAATAGTGCCACTGTCTTCAAGTTGTTTGTGAGGCATAAGGGTTTTAACACATATGAGTGTACCTCAGCATGCTTACATTGTGAAGTTCCTTCTAACTCCACCACTAAGGACCAGCTCCACCATTGCTAGCACATGACAAGCAATACTGCTTTTTGGCAAAGCCAGAGGGAGATAATGTGTGGAAATATATTGCTAAATGAATGTGAATGGAGACTTTTTCTCATCGATGAATAATCAGCTACGTGTCCTGCATACATGGCACAGTGCTGCCTGAGATAGCTCTAATGAAAAATAAAGCTCAGTACTTTTATCCTTTTTAAAAAATTATTATTTTAGGTGAGAGGAGAAAGAGCTGGGAAACTAGATTCATGTAATGTGGGAAAGCAAGGCAGTTCTGATTATGCTTTATCGAAGCATAATTGCAATGCAACTCTCTAGTTCCTGGGGATAAAGACAGGAGAAGGGAATACGGAGGAGTATTTAGTTCCCTGTTCTGCACATAGTAAATGCTTGGCAAATGTTGGTGGTAGACTGAGAGGGTTTTGAGAGACCAGGTCATGTGTTTGATTTCTGCTGCTGACTTCCTGGCAAGTGCAATGCAAGGTGTGGTGTTGTAGTGGAAAGAACATTTGACCAGCAGTCTGAAGGCCTGCGTTCAGTTTCCATCTATACCCCTTTAACTGCCTGGTGACCTAGGACATGCCACTTAATCTTTGATGTCTTCTTAACTGTAAAATGAGGAGACTGGACTCGGTGATTTGGAAAGTCTCTTTCAGCTTTAAAGTTTTGGGCCTCCATGCAACTTCATGCATTTGTGTTCCTGTTTCTTCATTTATTCAAAGGCAGTAGGTAGTAGGGATAGAAACCTATCACATGGGATATTGGGAAGAAATGGTCAGCCTGTAGGTTAAAATAACCTATATCTCTACCCACAGCAGTGTACCTGAGTGGCTGTGTAATCCTTGGAAAACCCCTTCATTTGTTTCAGATTCAGCTGGAATATTTGTAAAGTTGTGCTATAGTAATCTTTCTATTGATATGTTCTTTTGAGAGTTGAGATCATGGAAATACTTTGAAAACCTGCAAGGTACTATATAGAGTATTCTAATTGAGAAACGGTATAGCTGTTATGGGCTTCCCAGTTGGCACTAGTGGTAAAGAACTCACCTGCCAATGCAGGAGACATTAGAGATGCTGGTTCAATCCCTGGGTCAGAAAGATCCCCTGCAGGAGGACATGGCAACCCACTGCAGTATTCTTGCCTGGAGAATCCTATGGACAGAGAAGCCTGATGGGCTATGGTCTATAAGGTTGCAAAGAGTCAGACACTGACTGAAGCAACTTAGCATGCACATGCATGCATGTGTAGCTGTTATACTTGTATCAAAGTTTAGCCCCCTGCTTCCCTTATTTTCAAATGAATGAATGTGTCACAAGGACCCAGAGGAAAAACGGAAAGTATAGATTTGGGGTCCCAACCCAAAGATTACTTTCAACTCCATCCTAAGAAATGGAGGTGAAATTTAGCTAAAACTGGCATTAATACAAAGTTTCCCCAAGAGGAGCATAAGATAAATACCTCAATGTTCTCCAATGTAGGAAATTTTTCCAGAGACCAGATAGGCCAGATATCTGCTGGTGGGGGCCTTACTTCCCACCCTCTTCTCCAAATGAGGCCATTTTGACACTAAGGGGTGCATAAGTGTGTGGGGGGGCGGGGGTAGCTTTCTGAGTTTTGAGAGTTTCACAAAGCAATAATCACAAAGATGCAACACAGGGCTGTTGGGTGTGTAAGTGGTAAGACAGCCCTTCATGCCAGGCCTTGCCAAGGATTGTTACTGGGGAGAGATGGCAGAGAGCACCCAGGCCCTGGCTCAGGAACCTCGTCTAGGTGCCCAGAAAGTCCAGGCTGGAAACCAGGTCTTCAATCACTGGCTTCTATTTGGGTGGAGTAGACGACTTGTCACACTCACAGGCATCCTTTGAGAAGCTTCCCTACCCTGCAGACAAGGCGCAAACAGCGCCCCATATCGGCAGTAAACGCACACTTGGAATCCGACCCCCACCCACCCCCATGACACCTGTCCGTAGAAGCATCATCGCCCTCAGCAGGATACTACCGTCAAAGGAGCAGAATGAAGGTGGTAATCGGCAGCTGAAATCAATTTCTGATAGATCTTGTGGGGTAGGAGTGGAGGACAAGTTGGTGAGAAGCTCCTGAATTTCTCTGGTTGGAAGGAACAACTAGGGATCTGGCCTGGAGGCACATTTTCACAGGAAGTCCTTTGTTTTTATTCAGATTATATATATGAATGACCAAAAAGAGCGAAATTGGTTTTCATGTAATTATTCTTGTACATTCTTATCGATTATTTTTATTTGGGTTGGCTTGAGAGGGTTGATCAAATTATGAGGGCCCCCCTCATGACTCTGCCACTGTTAAAACCTCGCCATTAATCCTATCCTCCTTTACCCGAGATAAACCTGATGTTTCTACTTTTAAGCACAAACATATGGGCCCAATACATTCACTATCTTGCAAAGATCTGAGTTCAAAGCACACTTCATTTTGCCTAGTTTGGGATACCTCCCTCCCCCACCTCCCCCTACCGCCCCACAGACATCCTCCGCACGCTTAAGTCAGGGTTATGAAGCTATTTTACAGGAGTCTTTGAGGCAGAGGTGTGAAGCAACGCACTCCAGCCACAGCGGGGCAGACTCCACCCCTGCTATGGGGGCTGCTCGGCAGCCTGAGCGCCCCAGAGACTCCTGGTGGCAGCACCGCAATTCCTGGGCAGGGTGGGAGGGTTCGGAACCCTTTGTTTCTTCTTTTGTTTCTTCTTGGAGCAGATCTGCGAGCCCAGGCTGGTGGGTGGTGTGTGCTTGCGCGGCGCCAGTCCCAGCACCCCCGGTCTCCCGCCGCCGGCCGAGTGTGTATGTGTCCAATGGAAAAAACCCTACAACGACACCACATCTTTTCTCACCCAGATCAAACCTTCCACAGCTCCCAGCGTTGCAGACCAGCCCCTTGCAAGCTAACGCGAGCCCCCGCGGGCACTCGGTCGCCCCAGCTCCGCGTCCCCTCCCACCTTCCCACCGCCTCTTTTGGAGTTGTGCTCTCATTTCCACGCAGCTTCCCGGGGGACAGAAGAGACGCGCCTCGCTTCGGGCGCAGCGATCCAGGTGCTGCGGTCGAGGATGCCAGGGAAAGGCCTAATCTGGGGGAGCGACGGTGAACCCCAGGTGTGGGCTGGGGACGGCATGTGGGTGCAAAAGAGGGCGCTGGTTGAGGGATGGCGCCCTCCCCCAGCGCAGGGCGGCCACGGAGCGGTCGTGTCCAGAGCGGGCCCCGGCGCCCTCCTCACGCCACAGTCCTCAGCCCAGAAGTCCCCGGGGTGTGTGCTGGGAGAGGGGTGCGGACGCCGGCAAGATTGTAAGCGGGTAGCGGCGTTGACATTGAACTCAGGTTCTAGTGCGTGCGTGCGGGTGCGCGCGCGCCCGTGTCCACGCGCGTGTTTGCGTGTGTGAGTGGTGGGGTGGCGGCCGGGCTAGAAAGCTGCAGCAAACCACGGCCCTCGGGGAGCGGAGCCGAGCGCGCCCCCCAGCCGCCGCCAGCCGGAGCTGCGAACGCTGAAGCCATTCATGATTTTGGTGACGTTATTCCAAGAGTGGGCGAGGGAGGGCGTGGCCTCCTGGAGCCGAGCCCCGCCCCCGCCCCTATAAATACCGCTTCCCCGGCTCTTTGTGGGGCCGTGAGCTCGTCTGCCCTGCCGACTTCGCAGGTAGTGGGGCTGTCTCCCGGAGGCGGACCAGCGAACGCCGAGTGCCCGCATCCGGCAGCCTGCCGCCCCTCTCTGCGCCGCTGACATCCTTACACGGGACGCAGTGACCGTGTTTAAATCACAAGGGCGTGGGTCAGGCTCCCCTAGGAATTCATGTCTGTTTATTTCCCCATTCACTGGTGAGTATCTTCTGCGCTCTCGGCGGGCATCCGTCTCGCGGCCGTGGCTGCTGGGCCCCGGGGCGCCTGCTTGTACCGGCTGGATTGCGAAGGCAGCGGGCGGCGCTCGGGCACCGGGCACTAACCAGCCGCCCAAGCCCGTGCAGGCGTCAACGTCAAGGTTGCCTAGGTGGGGGTGGGGGGTGGTAGTGCTGAGAGCATCCAGACAAAGGAAGTGAACTCGCAGCCTTCACTTAAGTGACGGCTGGGAGGGTGTGTGTACAGTCATGTTGGGGTGAAAGAAGAACCAGAGGTCAGGGCTGAACCCGGCTAATAAAACCCCCTCTCTGCGGAGGGCTGCAGGAGGCGCGCGCCCGGCCTGGCGCAGGGGGCTCCAGCTCTCCCCGGCCCCTCCCCTTTTCCTTTTTGTTTGCATGCAAGTCTTGGCGTCGAGGCCCGCGGCCACCAGGCTGAGCTGGTGCAGCGGCCGCGTTTGCAGAGCTCCGAGGGGTGGGGAAAACGCCCTCCCCACACGGAACTCGACTGAAGCCACAAGCAGCCGCACAATCACTCGCTACACCTCTCGATCCCTTTCCTCTCCACAGCCCCTAAACCCGACGCGCCTTTCTGGGGGCCGAGGCTGGGGAGGAGCCGCCCTCCCCCACCCCGGGCTCGCCTGGAGGAGCCCGGGCCGGGCAGCGGGAGGCGGAGGTTTGCACCCGACCTGAGATTGGGGCTGGGAGGGATGCGTCCTGGGCGCTCGGCAGGTTGAAGAGCGAGCCCCTGGCCGCTGGCACTTGCGTGCCGGCTGCTGCTTCCTTCCTGCGCTGAGGAGAGGAAGAGCGGTCGTGGGGAGAGCGCTGGCGGCCCGGAGCGCGCTCAGGTGCGGGCGCAGAGAGCCCCGCCGCGCAGGCTCCAGCTCCGCGCAGTCCTGCTCAGCTCAGAAACCGGAAAGTTCATGCTTCTTGCTTCAACTTTTCGGCCCCGCGCCGAGAGAGGAGTGAAAGCCGGGACATCAGGCTGAGAGCCCGGCCAGAGTCGGGTGGGCGCTCTTCGGTCTCGTTTAGGGTGGGCAATAGCCTTTCCCGAACCCAGGAGGAAACTGACTTCTTTGACCTCAAATTTGCCCGGAAGCCTAGCATCCTCTCTTAGTCTCCCCTCGCCCAACCCAGCCTGCCCGATTAGAAAAGAGAGGGCATTCTCAAAGCAGAGTAAGAATTCCCTCACCCCTTCCCTCCTACTTCCAGGTACCATATGGGTGAGACTTGCAAGGCCATTGGAGGCTGTGTGCCCCTGACCACTCAAAACTCACCAAGATGTGTGTCAAGGCCCATCAGGGTTATTGTCCCCTGAGAGATTAAGGTTGGGTCTCACTTTACAGTTGATGAGCATGTCATAGTTTGTAGTGCTCCACCCCTCACCCTGTGGAGCACTGTGAGCATAACTGTGAAACTGTGGGCCCTGCATTATTAGTATCATGGTAACTAACAGGGCACCTGTGGCTCAGAGACGTTGTGTGATCACACAGCACTTGAGTGGCTTAGCTTGGACCAGAACCTATTGCTTTTGTTTCCTAATCTAGTGCCATTTCTACACCATGTAGAAACTGTAAAATGAAGATGAGTTTGGTACCCCTGTTTCCTCAGCTGTGGTCTTTCTAAGGCCTACCTTACTATTTATTTTTAACCATTTATAAAGGCATGATGGTGAAAATGTTGAGTGTTATGTAGCAAGTACGTTGACTTTGGTATGTGCTATTTGGCATTACACATTCGGGACCCTGTACGTGCCCATGGCTTGTGTGAGGATAATGGAACACTTGTCTCCTGCTTACAGGGTACAAAGCACTCTCACATGTCAGCCATTGGTGGGCCAACTTGGCCCCTCTGGAAATTTCCTTTTCAATCAGAGTCCGGGCATCCTTAAGGCTTTTAATCCAGGGGATGTTTTTCGAGCTGTGAGCCTTCAGCTGCTGTGGCAGGGGCTAGAGAAGGGGCTTGGATGGCAGATGTGAAGTTTGGGGAAAGCTGACCCCTTGGGGCTTAGTATGGGACAGTTTGCAAAAAGGAACACCAGAGAGATATAGAAACTTAGGAAGGCAGCAGTACTGGACTTGGTTTACCTGAGGTTGGCCTGTTATCATTATGTAATAGCAATATTCATTTTCCCTAGAGAAGGGTTGAATTGGTTTTAATACAGACAGATGGCCTCAGCCACTTACTGTTTTGGGTTTTTTCCTTTAGTTCTGTCACTTAAAAGAAAATTCAGAGTCATTTTGTGCCAGTGGGAACTAGTACAAGAGAGGAGGAAAGAGGAGGTTTGCCAGAGTGGTTTTCAGACAATGGGCTTTTTTGGGAGCCCTGATGCTTGGGCTCGTAAGGCGCTTCCTTGGGGTATGAGCTTGTTTTTCTGTGAGTTCTGTTTTGAACACCTCTCATCCTCCTTCCAGTTTCCTGATTTAACAGCAGAAGGCACGAGAGTAGGAATGTGAAAGTATGTATGCTTGTTGACTTTTGCTCTGGGTTTCTTGGCAGCCCTGACTATCTGAGCTCGGCCGAGATGACTGAAGTGATGATGAACACCCCATCCATGGAAGAAATTGGTCTCAACCCCCGAAAGGATGGCCTTTCCTACCAGGTGAGTTCAGTACAGGCTCCGTTCTGGCTTCTTAGAGCCTAGTGGCTTTTGCTGGGGTTGGTGGTAGACTTGTTTCTGTATCTGAGTGCTGTTTGTAAGATCTATGTGCCCTTGAGAAAGTTCCTGAATGCCAATAAGCCTTAGTTTCTTCATCTGTAAAATGGGACAACAGTCGTTCTTACCTCATAGAATTGTGAAGATTCAACATGATGAAATAACATGGGTAAGGCAGTCATAGTGCCTGGGACACAGTAAGCATTCAGAAAGCGTGAGCCAGTTCTTAATTAGTCATCCTGGCTGCTACAAACTTTTCCCTTTATGGTGGCAAAGGGGGAGGTGATTTGTGCAGTCAGTTCAGACCAGAACTTCCCTCCCCAGGCAAGCCTTGGGCAGTAGTAACATTGCTGTGAGGGGCGTCTTATGAAGAAGGGTGGTCTGGTGAAGGAATTGCTGTGTCCAATGCTGCTCTCTTCCTTTGATTGATGGTTGACCAGCTGATTCCAACAGGGTTAGTGGTCAAACTACTTAGAATTGAAGAGACCTTTCCCCAGAGGGTAGCTCTCTCAAAGATGTGATCACCAGGATCCAGCACAGAGATTATCCTGTGTGGTGGATCCAGAATATATAAGGACCAAAAAAGTGGTCTAAGTAATGCCTTCAGATTCTCAGCCCCGTGCTCTTTCTGGCCTACCATATGCTTTCCACTGCACCTGGCCCACTAGAGAGACCTTCAAATACCTTCACAGCAGTGAACTGTTTTCAAATTTCTGAGAAGAGTGCCTAGGTCATTACATATGGGGGAGGAAAGAGTCTGTTTTAAAGGGAAGATCTTGGAAACTGTGTAGCATGGCTGAATGGGGAAAATGAATGGGGTGCTGTGGGCTCATTCAGCAGATATACCTGAATGCCGCTATGGGCCATGCACTTTACAAACAGTACTTGTTCAGTCTTGACCGTCGCTCTGAGGTGGGAGTTATTGTTCTGTCTCACAGATGAGGAAACAGGCTCAGACTGAGTGACTGACTTGGGTCTCGAATTCCAAAGCCTTGGTCTTCTGGTGCGTCCTGTGTCTATGCCTTAGGGTTGGCTCTTGGCTCGAATTGAGACTTTGCGCTGGCTAGTCTCTCCTTAGAACCATTCTAGGTTTGTTTTTGTGAAGAAAGAGAAAACAGAAATCTGGGTGGGTGTGATGGAGGGAGGGTGATCAAAGAGAGCTGAGATGAAAGCTGAGCTTGGCTAAGGTAATTTGGCAGGTGACAGCAAGAGTCACCTCAAACACACTTGGGACGTTCAAGAAGGCCACTTTGTTGTGTGTCGATACGGCCAAGCCTCTTCTGTTGGCTGGAAAGAAGCCTTTAGGTGGCTTGCGGGGGTTGGGGGGGGGTATACCCTTTCCTGGTTGGTTTTCTCCCTTCCACTCTCAGAGTGGGTCTGAGAGAGACAACTGAAGGCCCCACAGCCTGTGGGAGGGCAGAAGTTTCCTGACCCACTGGCCGGGGTGTTTTTGGATACCAGTTTCCAAGTCACTGAATCAGACTGAATCTCTTTGTGGTTACAGGTGAGAGGTTTTTTTTTTTTGTTTCTTTCTGGGTTTCAGATTTCCATCACAGAACCTTTCCAGACACAGTCGTCGGTATATCTTGTGTGTGCTTTCTATATTCTCCTTTTGAACACATCCCAGGATAAAGGGCCAGGTCCCACAGGGCAGTTTTCTTGACCTTCAGGTTACTCTGTTGAATCTGAGGGATAGAGCAGATAATGGCAGAGGAAGGTGCTGTGGTGCTGGGTGAGGACAGCTCAACTGGGGCTGCCGCAGGCCGGAGGACAATAAAATTGCCTCTGGGCTCCTGACATAACTCGATGCTGCCTGAGCAAAGGGCCCTCAGATCTTCCCTTGTGGTGCTAGACTGAGGGCCCAGTTTTCACAGCCTCTCAGGAGATCTGTACCTGCTACCTTCAAGCAGACTACTGCCCAGTTCCAAAATATCTTACCTTGAGCTCCAGTGCAGTCCATCACAAGATTTCAGAAAGGTCTTCCTGGAGAAGAGAGAGGGGAGCAGTAGTTATCTTCAACCAATCAGCATTTATTGGACACTTGCTGTATGTCACATGCTATGCTGGGCATTATGAGGAGGGTCCAAGGCTTATGGGGGAGACCAGCATGCACATAACTGGAATACAGGCCATCTGGTGGAGCAATTGGAAAGCTATGGCCAATCTGGGGATGTGTGGCAATGGGAAGGCTTGGGAGGAGAAAGTCAGACTGGGGCCTTGAAAGAAAATCAGGACTTTGAGAGGACACTTCCATCTCTAATTTTGTAGCACCTTGGGCTTGCCTCCATTTGGGCCAGGCTCAGGTCTCTGCAGCAAGTTGGTCTGACAATTGTCATATAACCGGTATTCTCTGGGCCCACTCAAAGCCACTGCCATCCCATTAAACATATTCCCACCAGAGCTCTGGGGACTGGCCAGGTCTGTCCATTGTACATGCTCAGACTGGGCTTGGATCTGGGGGCAGCAGAGCTTTGAGCTCTGTTCTTGGCATTCCTCCTGAGGGTAATAATAGTACATGGCTTTTACTGCGACCTGCTTTTCCCAGGAACTAAAAGTGGGATGGAGACATCAATCCCGACTTAGCAGTTGAAACAGAATCTCAGACTTGTGGTTTGACCTTGAAATAAGGTCGTAAAATAAATAGGCACACTGGAATTTGTCAGTTGTTCCCCCCACCTTCCAGACCTCCCCAGAACGAAGCTTTGCTGATTTCTTTGCCCCAGATGTGACATCTTTCTTCTCCAGCGCCTGTGGCATTTGAGCTTAAATGATGCTGCCATGGTCCTGCCTGACCTTTTCCTTGCCCAGGTCTCCAAGGGCAGAGGATGCCTTATTCCCTCTTTGTTCCTATCAGCCATCACCCTTCCAGTAGCCCTCCCCAACCTGAGGTGCCTGCTGGCTTGGGGCCTTGACAAAGCAGGTCCTAAGTGAATGGTGGTAGTTTCAGTAAAGTTGAGTCTCTTGATTCTAAAGCTGCTCACCTGCACTTCTGCTTTAGAATTTTTAAAGGGCCTCCTCAGCATCACACCTCTCTCTGCTCAGTCATGTCTGATGCTTTGTGACCCCATGGACTGTTGCCCACCAGGCTCCTCTGTCCATGCGGCTTCTCCAGGCAAGAATATTGAAGTGGGTTGCTATTTCCTCCTCCAGGGGACCTTCCCCATCCAGGGATCAAACTTGCGTCCCCTACACAGACTCAGATAGATGTCTTTTTATCCCCTGAGAGATTTGGGGAAGCCCTATCTCTTGTGCTTAGAGAGTTAGTGCTGTTTTATGAGCACGTATAAAAATTGGCAGAGCCAGTACCCTGTTTTATCTCAGCATTTACTTAGAGAGTCAATTCAATATGTGCAGCCCACATCTGCTGTCTCACTTGGCATGAATTACGACACCCTCCCAGGTGGGTGAATAAACGGTTAATAGAAAGTAGAGTACATTTTGGGGAGGGATGTAAGTGGTGGCCAGCACACAGGGGGCTGAGTGGGAGGGTCTTCAGAAGGAGGATGAGGTTCTGTCCCTGCTGGGCTGCAGCTCCCTCCTCACACTGCATCTGTCAGCTTCTTGTTCTCTGGCCCGATGGATAGGGATGTTTGCCTAATGCCTTCCTACTTTCTCTAATTCAAGGAAGCAGGTCAGGGGCTGCCTTGCAGGCTCCCCGCAACACCATTAGATTGTGACATTTTGGAATGCCTCTCTTACTGGGTCTTCTTTGGTGCTGCGCCTGAGTTGGTCTGGGCCCTGAAAAGGGCAGGGTCCTGGGCATTCGCCTCTGGTCATGGATGTTGCTGCAACCCAAAGGCTGTGCATTTTGGCCTGGCCGTCCAGCTTCCCTAGCACAGCTTGCTGAGGCTTCTGCAGTTTTTAATCCCCCCTTGCTGAGTTCTAGATAGAGATTTGGCTCTTCGGTCTTCATTTAAATCTGTCCCTTCTCAAGCATCTGGACCAAGATCTGATAAATTTTATCCTTCCAAGGCTCTTGAAATTCCTCTCTGATCAGCACACTGTCCTTCCATGGCTGCCCGTATTCCTCCTGCTGTTCTTTGTCTCATGCTGCTACCATTTGATGTCCACCCACCAGTCAGAGGAGCAGCGGACTCCCCTCCTTCTCAGGGAAGCCAGGGAGGATGCACCATGAACTAGAGCACTAATTCTATATGCACCACAGTGCCTCGTGTTCTGGGCTTTCCCTTTGATCCTCAGTGCTGAGAGCTTTCCTGCATCTTCCCCTGCGTTTCCCAAGATGGGAGGGAGGGATGTCCTGGCTTTTGTAGGACAGGGAGGAGGGACAGTAGTGGGTGACCTTTTCTGCCACAGTCCTGTCATTTGCTTCTTGCAGTCTGAGCCTCTCTTTCAGCTCTGCATTAGGACAGGTCTGAAGTACCAGGCTGGCTGAGACCTGGCCCCTCCTGGGACAGACTTTCTCTGTCTCTTCCATCTCCAAGGCCAGCATTAGCCAACTCCCTTTTCTCCCCCTCCTCACTCTTTATCAGAAGCAGCAACTCCTGTCTCAAAGAGAAGGCTCAGCCGAACCTCTTTATTCAGACGGTAGCTCAGAAACGCTTGCTCTTCACTCACCTGTCCACTGAGCCTTTCTTGATGAGACCCCCGAGCCTGGCTCTCCTGTTCCCTCCTGTGTAAGTGCAGGTGTGGAAATCTGTGACGGGCTGGGGTTCCTGCATGTGTCTCTGTTCTGTTTCCCTCGAGCCCCTGCTCACAAAGCCACTCCAGGCGTGTCATCAGCCCCTTGTCTCCTCTTCCTGATGCCCCTGTCTCATTGGTTACCCCCAGCTGCATACCCCTGCATGGTTCTCAGGAGTTTGGGAGTCCTGGCTGAGCAGGCACACAGAAGTCCGTTGGTCACCAGGAAATCATCTTTCACATCAGATTAAAAAGCCTCAGTTGTCCCTGGAGGGACATAAAGCTAAAATTCCAAAGCACTTGGCAAG